AAAGAAGGCATTTTTTAAGTGGAGTTTTGGTATAGATGGAATTTTCCAGGAATGCAGTTACTGTAGGCATTGAGGAGAAATTGTTTTCTTCTCAGCTTTACCAAATGGATTAGTCAGGGTTGTCCAGAGGAGCAGAACCAGTAGGACCTAGACACACACACACACACACACACACACACACACACACAAAGAGATTTATTATAAGGAGTTGACTCACATGATCATGGAAGCTGAGAAGTATCAGGATCTGCAGTCAGCAAGCTCGAGACCTAGGAGAGCCAATAGTAAGTTCCAGTCTGAGTCTGAAGGTCTGAGAATCAGGAGAGTTGATAGTGTAAATCCAAGCCTGAAAGTTGGTAGACTTGAGACCCAAGAAGAGCCAGTTTTTCAGGTAGAGTCCAAAGACGGGAAAAGACCAGCATCCCAACTCAGTGAGTCAGGAATCTCTATGAATTCAAATGTTAATCTCATTCAGAAACATCCTTACACAACACATACACACAAACAAAAACAAAAAGTAAAGGGCAGCCTGGGTGGCTCAGCGGTTTAGCGCTGCCTTCAGCCCAGGACCTGATCCTGGGGATCTGGGATCGAGTCCCACGTCGGGCTCCCTGCATGGAGCCTACTTCTCCCTCTGCTTGTGTCTCTGCCTCTCTCCCTCTGTCTCTCATGAATAAATAAATAAAATCTTAAAAAAAAAAAGTAAAATAAAAATTACGGATCTTATTAAAACTAAAAGAGACGACCTTATACCCAGAATAATTTAACCAAATGTCTGCATTCCATGGCTCAGTCAAAAATTAACCATCCTTTTAGTGATTCATCCTTTTAGAAAATCACATGGTTGATAGCATGTATGATAGATGGCATGGTATCTCAGTTAGAGTACTATCAAGTATCCAAGTCAAGACTTTGTAGTCAAATTCACAAGGATTTAACTTAGAGGTATAGATTTCTGACTCTTATTCCTCGTATGGTCTTGCTTGAAAATTCATATATTGAAATTCACATTTGTTTTACTTACAAATTACTTTTATTTTTTATGTCAAATTATGTAGATATTTTTAGAAAGTACTTGTTTGTGTTTAATAAATAGGTTAGCTTTGGATTTCACTTCAGTAGCAAAGATGTATTTACATATTTGTTAGAGAAAGGGAGCTTTGGTTCCAATGTGGGTGAGAACCAGTGGTTTGAGATCTAAGATCTCAAGCTGCCAGTCTCTTGGACCAGTGTATCTCAGCATTTTTAAAGTTTTTGGCTGTGCTGCTTGTCTTCTCTCTGATCTTTGTAAAACTGTAGTTCTTCTCTTTATCTTTTTGGGTATTTTATAATATTGGGATTTGCTTTCTACAAGTCCTTGTCTGATGTTCTTTAGGTTTTTTTTTTTTTTTTTAAGATTTTATTTTTAACCTGTACACCCAACTTGGGGTTTGAACTCAGCCCCAACATCAGGAGTCACGTGCTCTTCCAGCTGAGCCAGCTAGGCTCCCCAGGTAGTTTTTATTTTGGTTTTTGTAACCACTTTATTAAGATACAGTTCATGTGCTTCACAATTCACCCACTTTAAAGTGTAAAATTGAGTGGTTTTCAGTATATTCAGAGTTTACAGCCTTTACCACAATCTAATTATAGAATGTTTCATTCCAAAAAAGAAATTCTGTATCCATCAGCAGTCAGTATCCATTCCTGCTACCCTAGCCTCTGACAACCTCTAATCTATTTTGTCTCTATGAATTTGTCTATTCTGGGCAATATGTATAAATGGAATCATGCACTACATGATTCCTTGTGTCTGTTATTTTTAATCGGTTTAATATTTTCAGGGTTATACTATGTATTGGTAGTTCGTTTCTTTTTTATGCCCAAATAATATTCTGTTGGATGGATATACCACATTTTGTTTATCCATTCATCAATTGGTAGACATTTGGAACTGAAACAAAAAGTTATCTTGTATGCAGAAGGCATATAAACACAAATCGGTTGATAGTAATATGTATCCAGTAAATAACAAATACATGTTGATAAGTAAAAAGTAATTTAAATGTTGTTTGGGTTGTTTCCAATTTTGTGGCTATTATAAATAATGTGTCTGTGGACGTTTGTATATAAGTTTGTGTGTGATGGGCACCTGGATGGCTCAGATGGTTGAGCATCTGCCTTTGGCTCAGGTTGTGATATCCAGGTCCTGGAATCGAGCCCCATGTCAAGCTCCCAGCTCAGCGGGGGGAGTCTGCTTCTCCCTCTCCCTCTGCCTCTCCCCTTGCTTGTGTTCTCTCTGTCTCTCTCTCAAATGAATAAATTTAAAAAAAAAAAGTTTGTGTGTGGACAAATGTTTTTATTTCTCTTGGGTTTATAAATCCAGGAGTAGAATTGCTGGATCATATGGTAACTCTATGGTTTAACCATTTGAGGAACTGCTAGGCTGTTTTCCAAAGTGGCTGCAGCATTTTATATTCCTTCTAGCTGCATGTGAGGGTTTTATTTACTACAAATCCTTTCCAACATTTGTTACCATCTTTTAAAATTAAAGAAAAATTTTTAAAGTAATTTCTGTGCCCAACATGGGGCTTGAATTTACAATCCTGAGATCAAGAGTTGAACTCTCCACTGACTGAGCCAATCAGGCACCCCTCTATCTTTCTGATTATAGCCATCCTATTGGGTAGAAAGTGGTAATTCATTAGGTTTTAAGAGGTAGCAGCAGGAAAGGGACAGTCTGTTACATTGTTCAGTGTGGTAGTTACCATGTACCTTTAAGTTTAAATCAGTTAAATAAATCAGTTAAATCAGTTAAATAAAATTGAAAATGCAGTTCCTCAGTCACACCAGCCACATTTTCAGTGCTCAGTAGACACAAGTGACTAATGGTTACTGTATTGGATAGCACAGATAGACATAGAGCATTTTCATTATTGCAGTAAGTTTTTTTTTTTTTAATTTTTATTTATTTATGATAGTCACACACAGAGAGAGAGAGAGGCAGAGACACAGGCAGAGGGAGAAGCAGGCTCCATGCACCGGGAGCCCAACGTGGGATTCGATCCTGGGTCTTCAGGATCGCGCCCTGGGCCAAAGGCAGGCACCAAACCGCTGCACCACCCAGGGATCCCGCAGTAAGTTTTATTAGATGGTACTTGTCCAGGAAAAGTTCATTTAGCAGGAGCTGGATGAGTTGGCAGAGAATGGTAGAGGGTCTGAGTTGTGTAGAAAGGATTGTGGGCGTGGAATTTGGAGAAGAGAACAAAGAAACCTCAGGGAGCTATCGAAAAGATAGGAGACTTAGAAAAGAGCAGGTAAATAAAAAGAGTGAGAAACTGAAGGAAAGGTTCTGAGGAATTTGATTTTTCCACAGTACTTTGAGTTAGCGATAGATCCAGTGTCATTCCTTCATTCTGTAGGTGAGAAAAGCGTACACTTGCTGCTGAGGTTTTGCTGTGTTGTGGTTGCTGTTAATAACAGCGTTCACAGCGTTCTTTTAGCTCAAAGGCCTTATCATGTTGAGGGTGGAGCAGAGCCCCCCTTCACCCTGTCTTACTGTTCTTGCCACCAAACCAGTTGGTACAGTTTGTATTATGTCAAGGCAAGATAAATCTGGAGTGTTCGTGCTCAGTCTAGATAAAGTATTCATTAAGGCTATTAAGGGTATTGGGACGAGCCTTTTCTTTTCCAAAATGTTATTCAGTAAGTTTATTTTTATTAGTGTGTAGAAATCTTCACAGAATACAACAGCCTCTTTTTGTGTTCATTGTTGTTTCTCAGAATCATCATACACAAACTTTCTTACCTTCAAATAGGGTTTCATTTTTGTGAAAGCCAACCTGGCCCATGACATCTTTCCAAACCTGATATTACTGTAGGGATTGTTTTTCTAGCATAGTTAGTAAAGATATATTTAAGGGTTTATATGGGTGCAGTTTTGTGTGCTGCCAGTGTTCTTCTGAGTCCTCTAAGCTAAGAAATCAAGCACGAGTTGCTTAGGTGGTAGACTTGTCACATTCCTTATGGGTATATAGATGGCCTTGTTTTCTGAACCCAAAAAATTGAAGTTTATGTTCTGATAAGGATTTTTTTAAAAGACTTTATTTATTTATTCATGAGAGACAGAGAGAAAGAGAGGCAGAGACACAGGCAGGCTCCATGCAGGGAGCCTGACGGGGGACTCGATCCCGGGTCTCCAGGATCACACCCTGGGCCAAAGACAGGCAGTAAACTGCTGAGCCACCCATGGATCCCCTCTGCTAAGGAATTTTGATGCTGCCTCCTGATAAAAGAGATATGCTGGGAAATATATTTAGGTCCTGAATGTTGGAGTTTCTGGGATGTTCTCCTGGCTTGTATGAGGCTATTACAACATATATTTGAAATTAGGACTATACCAGATAGTTTGGAAAATACGATCATCCTTAAATATCTGCAAAATGGCTAATTCTCAAATACCAGGATGGTTAGTGCTTCATTAAATGCTAAAAATAATGTATGTTGTATTGTATTTAGCCAGTTCCATTAGAGATCTAGAATTTTTATTTTGTTTTGTTTTTGTTTTTTAGAGAGCACATGTACACACATACAAGCCCCTGCAAGTGGAGGGGGGGGGCAGAGAGAGAGAGAGAGAGAGAGAGAGAATGAATCTTAAGCAGGCTTCAGGCTCAGTGTGGAGTTGGATGGGGGCTCGATCTCAGGACCCCTCGATCCCAGCCAAAATCCGGAGTTGGATACTTAACTGACTGAGCCACCCAGGTTGCCCCTGGGGTACTCCTTTTAATGACTGAACTAGAATGCACAAAATAGTTTCAAGCTAGTAATGTTCAAGGAGAAAGACTTAAATGTGGAGTATATTCTGATTAACAAGTCTAAGAGCTTTTCAGCCTTTTATTTTCTGTATCAACATCTAGTTTTCAGACATTTTTATGTATTGCATGGTAAAATTTTTCAGAAACAAATTTCTAAAGAACTTTCTTCTACTTGTGTTCTCAGTATAATGACATTTCTTTCCACAGATTTGCTTGTAAATGCATCACGAAGAGGCAACCCAGAATGAAGAAAGCAAGCAGGAGTGTTGGCTCAGTGCCTAAAGTGTCTGGGATAAGCAAAACGCAAACAGTAGAAAAAACTAAACCTGAAAACAGCTCTTCAGCATCTACAGGAGGCAAAGTCATAAAAACTGGAACAACAGCATCATTGTCAAAGGTATTAATGTGACGGTGTTTGAATATGTGATGGATTTTAGGATGAGTGAATCTTAATATGTTTGATTTATTAAATAAACATTATTCAGGGTTCGCCCTCTGCTGGTGCTGGGAACACACAGTCTTCAGAGAGTTCAACAATGTGGTAGGCTTGGTGTGTTTGGTCTGGCTTTATAAATGAAACCACATAGTAGACTTGTTCATGAAACAAATATATCACTGAGCACTTGCCTTGTGGCAGGGTCTTATGCTAGTGTGAGCTGGAGGTAGAGTCTGTCTTCAGACTTGTGGTATAACGGGTGGAGATTGTCACCTGTGCGCATAATTCAAAATACATGTAAAAAAGTCAGATTTCCTGGGAGAGCCAGGAGAGCAGCGTAAGAGTTTCAGGAAAACATTGTTTTTCTAGCCTGGGAAGGTTTTATGAAAGATCATGTGTGCTAGGTCTTAAAGGACGACCAACAATAACATTCCTGAAACCCCTAGATAGGGTTTTTTTATTCCCATTCCACTGCCTTGTACACCATAAACTTACTGTTTTTCTGACAACTGATCCTGTATTAATTCCATTAAAATTGGGTGATATTAATTTAGTTAGAGCATAACTGGTTTCCTTTACACTCCTTTTAAGGCTGGTTTAGTTCTTGTTGGTACAGAATAGTGACTGTGGGCTTCAGGAGCAGACAGATCCAGTCTTTGTATGTATGTGCTTCGTGGTCAAGTGGTTAGCACACAGTCTGGCACATGGCAGGTGCTTTGTAAATGACAGGTAGTAGTATTTTTTCTTTTAAGATTTTATTTATTTATTCATTAGAGACACAGAGAGAGAGAAGTAGAGACACAGGCAGAGGAGAAGCAGACTCCATGCAGGGAGCCCGATGCGGGACTTGATCCCGTATCCGAGGATCATGTCCTGAGCCTAAGGCAGACACTCAACTGCTGAGCCACCACCCAGGCGTCTGGCTTTTTTTTTTTTTTTTTTTTTAAATATTTATTTGACAGAGAGAGCACCAGCAGGGAGAGTAGCAGGCAGAGGGGGAGGGAGAAGCAGGTTCCTGGAGGAGCAGGAAGCTCAATGCGGCAGGTTCATGACATGAGCTGAAGGTAGATGCTTCACCAACTGAGCCACCCAGGTTCCCTTGTAGTAGCATTTTTATTGATTATCTCTAGGAACTTTTACCAGCTCAGGACTGATTTTTGAAGAAAAGAGTCTTTTCCTTTGGGTGCTCTCAGTGTCTCTGTTGGTTTGGACTGTCCAAGGGACAAGATGACTCAGGGCCATCTCTCTGCTGGTCAGATATTGGATATATTGCATAGGGATGCAGAGTCTTGTTTTCCAGGGAATTTTGTATTTTGAGTAGAAACTTTGTGGAGAAAACCTGTAGAGGGTTTGTGCTAGTCTGATAGGGAGAAACAAAGCACTGCTTGAAACATGATCCATTCAAAAGCCTTTTGTTCAGGCAGAGCTTTGATAGATTGTGGCTTAATTATTTTAAGAAGCGCCTCATAGAACAGCTGATGAGGGACTTCCTTATATGTGTTGAAAGATCTAGGTGGAAATCCTGTTTATTCTGTTCCAGGGTTGCCAAAACTAAACCCAGACTTACTCCATAGGCTTGGAGGCACCCCCAGATTTTTTCCTTGCTACAGCTTTAATAAGCTGCTGGGTGTCCTCCTATGGCCCAGAGCATGGTACCAGGAATAGACCTTTGCCCTACTTCCATTAGTCAGAATCAACACCCCTGAATTACTTCCTTGATGACAGTGCTACCACTCTTTTGTGTAAGATAGCTGGCATTTTCTGACCTAACTGGTTACTCACTTGCTGGGGGTGTCTTCAGAGCAGAGTGCCTGTGTGACTGGGTGAACTGTTATTTATGTGACTGGAAGAACAAGTTGAAACACTGGCATTAGATGCGTTCTACTGCTTTCCTTCTGTTGTGTCCTCATCAGTGGCAGTCAGGGTCTTTGAAGGTTTACTATGAAGTGTGCCCTGAGCAGGCATGTCAGATCTTCAGAGGCCTACATCTGAAGTTGATGGTAGTTTGGTTTTTAACAGTGAGTACTTTTTCATTGTAAAGCAAAACAACTGTACACCTGCTGTGTGCCAGAACATGCCAGCTGTCCAGATTTGGCTTTTCTTTTTTTGGCTCATTTAAGTAGGGGTGTGTGTGTGTGTGTGTGTGTGTGTGTGTGTAGTGAGGAAGGTCTTAGAACAGGTGATATATTTTTTTTTAATTTTTATTTTTATTTATGATAGTTACACAGAGAGAGGGAGAGAGGCAGAGACATAGGCAGAGGGAGAAGCAGGCTCCATGCACTGGGAACCCGACGTGGGATTCAATCCCGGGTCTCGAGGATCACGCCCTGGGCCAAAGGCAGGTGCTAAACCGCTGCGCCACCCAGGGATCCCAGAACAGGTGAAATTATTTGGGAACACTATGTAGACTGATGCAACTGCTTTTATTTAAGAAAAAGTCACTGAATAGAAATTGAAGTAAGAAGACAAAGAAGGGAAGAATAGTGAAAATGAACAGAAAAATTGAAAAGATCAAAAGGTTTTGGAGACCTACAACCTTAAGTGTTATTTTATTTTCCTAAGTTTACATATTTCACTGTGCTTCTCTAACATTTGGACACTTTCCACAAATTAAATTTCTGTAACTGTGATGGAGCATTGATGATTAACCAGATAAATGAAGCCTTTTGCTTTTAGTCATGTAGACACCATGTACACATACTCACCCACTCATGTGGACAGCCACATGTGTGTTTCTGTCACTGCACAGTATTCAACATTTTCTTACTGTGGCAGGACATGGGGATATACCTTTCTTTACCTCTCTCATTTCAAATATTATTTGAGGCTAGATCTAGTTGATGTGTAGGAGAAAGGACTTTTTTGACAAGAGCACCTCACTGCTGTTTGGAGCTTTTGTAAATATAAAATACAGCACAACTGCTGTTCAGTGAGTTTTGAAGAAAAGTTTCCATTCTTCTGAGTAGCTGTGATGTCTGGTTTGGGGCCTTCATATGGTTATCTGTCACAGTGAGCAGAGAGGATTATTTGCCGCATAGGTATTGTCTTATATATGCCTGCACGTTGCAGGTTTCACACACTGCTCAGGTGTTCCCAGTTAATCCTTGTAGAAGTAATACACTTTTTCATTGTCCCAAGAATACTTTTTTCTAAAAGTTAATAGATGAGAATTGGTAAATAGCAGTTACTTCAGTTAGAATCTACCTAAATAATTCATAACTCAATGATTATTTGTGAGCATACCTTTCCAGTATGAAAATTAGTAAACTATATGATTGAACAATCCATCTCTGAAACTTGAAAAACAAAATCTAAAAACTAACCTTAAATTTTGAGTTGATGGTGCAGACATGAAACTTGGGCTTTATGAAACTTAGAAGCATGTATATGTTGGTTGTATTATTTCATCATTTATATCTAGAAGGGATTTTTTTACATTCTTTTTTTATTTTTATTTTTTAAGATTTTTATTTATTCATGAGAGGCACAAAAAAGAGAGAGAGGCAGAGACACAGGCAGAAGGAGAAGCAGGCTCCATGCAGGGAGCCCGATGTGGGACTCGATCCCAGGTCTCCAGGATCATGCCCTGGGCTGAAGATGGCGCTAAACCATTGAGCCACCCGAGCTGCCCTACATTCTTTTTTTAAAAAAGATTTTATTTATTTATTTGAGAGAGAGAGAGAGAGAGAGTGCACAAACAGCGTGAGCAGCAGGCAGAGCGAGAGAGAGAAGCAGGCTCCCCACTGAGCAGAGAACCTGATGCAGGGCTCAATTCTAGGACTCTGTGATCATGACCTTAGCCGAAGGCAGATGCTTAACTAACTGAGCCACCCAGGTGCGCCTAAACATTCTCTTAAAATTCTTTAAAATTTTATTTTATTTTTTTATTAAGTAATCTCTATACCCAGCATGGGGCTTGAAGTCACAAACCTGAGATCAAGAGTTGGATGCTCTACTAGCTGAACCAGCCAGGTGCTCCTCTAGCTAGAAGGTTTTTACCAAATGATTTGCATTTTGCATCTGTTATTGAAAAGTAGGCTAAAAATCTCTTCCCTTCATCAATTTCATTTTTTGGACTGTTGTTGATGAGGAATATTTGTGTGTGGAAGTGCATATGTATTTGCAGAATTGTGTAATAAACATTGAAATAGGGAAAGATACCAGCCTGCAAATAGCTTCATGTAAAGAGAAGTTGGAGAGTATAGAGTTGTTTTTTTTGTTGTTGTTGTTTTGTTTCTAACTTTTTTAAAGGGTATTTATTTATTTTTAGTAACCTCTGCACCCAGCCTGGGGTCAAACTCATGACCCCAACTGGGATCAAGAGTTGCATGCTCTTTCTTTCTTTTTTTTTTTTCCTAAGGTCTTTTCTTTTCTTTTCTTTTCTTTTCTTTTCTTTTCTTTTCTTTTCTTTTCTTTCTTTTCTTTTCTTTCTTTCTTTCTTTCTTTCTTTCTTTCTTTCTTTCTTTCTTTCTTTCTTTCTTTCTTTCTTTCTTTCTTTCTTTCTTTCTTTCTTTCTTTCTTTTCTTTCTTTCTTTCTTTCTTTCTTTCTTTCTTTCTTTCTTTCTTTCTTTCTTTTCTTTCTTTCTTTCTTCTTCATTCATTCATGAGAGATACACAGGCAGAGGGAGAAGCAGGCTCCATGCAGGGAGCCCAACGCGGGACTCGATCCCGGATCTTCGGCCCTGGGCCTAAGGCAGGCGCTAAACCGCTGAGCCACCCAGGGATCCCTATTTTTTTTTTTTCTAAAGATTTTATTTATTTATTCATGAGAGACATAGGCAGAGGGAGAAGTAGGCTCTGTGGGAGTGAACATACTCTGCAGCTTCCATCTATGTCAAGGAGTGGCTGAAGTGGTTGGTCAAGGAGAGGTCTGAAGTTGTTTTAATTTGCATTTGCATTATTATCCATGGGATTAAGCACCTTTTCATGTTTTACCTTTATATGGTTTGTGGGCAGTTATG